TTTAGGGTTTAAGGTTTACGGTTAGGGGGGCTTGGCCTCATTTGGCCTGCTGGGTAGCCCTGCCGGGTAAGGGGGCGCAAGGTGGCTTGGCCAAATTTGGCCTGCCGGATAAGGACGTTAACATGTCAATTACTATGTGAAAGAGAGGTTTAGGTTTAGGGTTTCGGGTTTATGGTACTCTGGGTTTAGGGTGCCTAGGGTGCTTAGGGTAGGTAAGGTTTTAGGGTCTTAGGGTTCAAGAATTTAGGGGTTTAGGGTTTAGAGCTTTTACTTTCCTTTTGTTACCTTCATTTGGTTCAAACACATGTTTCTTACATCTTATCTTTAGGGTTTTGGCTTTGTTGTTGTTGCTGCCTTGATTGTGCTTGCCAGGGACAATGTTGGGGCGTCAGGATGTAGGGGTTTTGGATGCGTTCAAAATTCATAGGTCATGGCCAGCATTTTAAAGTTTTAGGATTTGAAGGTCTTGCGTTTAATAATACCATTGTTTTGCCGTTGGGGTTTGTTGACTTCTAGGGTTGTTTGGGTTTCTTCAGCTTTGCGGCGCGTAATTGTGGTTTAAAGGCCTACGGGCTCAGGGCTTAAGGTTTAGGATTGGGATGAGGCATTTGAGTAAATATATCATGCCATAGTTGTGTGAGCAGGAAGTCGTAGTTATTCAGGCTGCTACATAATGGAGGCTTTTGGGAATATCCTATGGGACTGTCGAAAACGGTAGGAAGATGTGTAGGCTTCGCACGTTTAGGGGTCTGGGAACCCTAAACCCTAAACCCCTAAACCTTAAACCCCTAAACCCTAAACCCGAAACCCCTGGACCCTAAACCCTAAACCCCTAAACCCCTAAACCCTAAACCCCTAAACCCTAAACCCCTAAACCCCTAAACCCTAAACCCCAAGATCAGGTGCGGGAGGGCTCTGCATGCTGCGAAGAGCTGCATGAAGGCTAGCTTGAGAAACTCTCATGTTTAGGGTGTAGGGGTTTAGGGTTTAGGCTTTAGGGTGCCCAATGAAAGTGAAGGAAAAATTAGCGGTTGCAGGCACCCACATTGGATACACACTATGTACACTGATCGCTATTCCAAGCAAACCCTGAAAGCACTCACTGAAAACTGTAGCCCTACTTCATGTAATCTTATATTAATCCAAAGCTTACAGACACTATAGACCATCACCCTGGCTTAGGAGGGTTTAGGTTATCGGGTTTAAGGTATGGAGTCTTGCGTATACGGTTCAGGGTATAGGCTACGTACGCGCTGCGCAATTTAGGCGGCAGGGCTTAGGGACTAATGTAAGGGGTTTAGGACTCAGGGTTTAGGGTTCAGGTTTCAAAGTCTAGCAGTTAGGATTTCGTGCTGGGGATTCTTTACTGCAAAAATTGTAACACGGTTTGGGATCATATCTTGAAGCCCTAAGCCCTGCTCCCTATCTGGATACTTAGGAGTCTCTATGGGTTGGGATGAATTAGCCACTAATTCCTATAGACCGAGAACCTCTATAAACCTAGCCCCTAAACAAACGATTATGGTTAAGGGCTTAGGGTTTTGGGTTGAGCTTTTCTTGAAAAGGCCCTCAACCCTAAACCCTAAATCCCTCAACCCTCAATCCCAAGCCCCTAAGCCAAGACTCTTTGTTGATTCTCCATCGCCTTTGTCACCTTTCTCCTTTTTCGGCATGGCTCACAAGCTGTCTTAAAGCGACCCAAGGGGTCCTGGATTGAAGCCCTAGGTAGGTATTTTGGGAAAACACTAGGCTTATAGTATGGAACCTGCCATTTTTTTCTATTGGATATGACTCCGTTTTATATTGGCATGGACTTTCCCTGCCCAGTTAGCTTGGGAGATTGGGTTTGTCAAAACAGCTGCGGCAAGAACGACCGCAGTCATATGACGTCTTGGGCATATGTCCACCCTAAAAACCCCAAACCTAGTGTGGTCATTGTTCCGAGAGCCCTGAAAAACCACCTATGATTTCTTGACACTAGCCCAGCTGGGGCCCTAAACCCTAAACCTCTGTGGAAGGAACCCTATGGCCCCCAGTGATGCTACCCTACTCTGGTGGTGCTGTGCAGCCACGCATGCTGGTTCTTGAGAAAAATCCTTCGGCCAGCGCAGCGGCGGTACAGATTCTGCGCTGGAAAGCCTACCAATTCTCAAGCAATCACCTTAAACCCGAAAACCCTAAACCCGTAACCCTAAACCCTAAAGCTACACCCTAAACCCTCAAACCCTTAACCCACCCAACCCCAAGAATCTCGCAAAGTCTAAAACTGTACGTCCAACAAACCTTCCTTCCTCAAAACATCTCCACGGGTTTAAGGTTTAGGGTTTAGGGTACACATATCCTGAAACCCTAAACACTGAACCCTAAAGGTATATGAGCCATAGTCTAAAATCCTGAAAGGGGGGATATAAGGGATTAGATAAGGAAAACTATGGGGGATATTAAGGGGGATAGTAGGAGTTTAGACCCCATAGCTCGTATGGATCCTAGGGTACAGTCTGATGCAGCGCATAAGCAGGCTCTCATGGAAATAGTTTAGGGCTGAGGGCTTTTCAGCTGAAATGATCCCTAGTCCCTAAACCCTAAACCTTCCGTACTGCCCCCCCGCAGTAACAGTTGAATAATACTTATAATATGGTTATATATAGCCCTTAATAGGACCCCTAATATAGACTGTTACTGGGTGGGGGCAGTACTGAACCTAAACCCTAGCCCAAGTATCCCAACTCAAGGAGGTGACCAAGGCGGGCATGCTATCAGACAGCAGCTTACGTATCTTTTCCACGACAGCCTCTAGGGTTTAGGTTTTAGGGTTTTTCGTTTAGGGTTTAGGGTTTAAGGTACGCCAGCTATTGCAAGTGAGCAAACAGTCAACCCTCATAATTCCTTCACGTGACATGGCCCAAGTACGCTCTCATTTAACAGTTCCCCCAAATAGGGGAACCCATACATACACATATATACATATTTTTGATAGACTACCAAGTACTATAGGCGTTGTTATGGGGACCCACAGACACTCTCCCTAATATGGGGACCAGCCATTCGCCAGCTGGGACTTGGATAATTATCACTTATTGCACCTGATTGGGTCATTGTCGGTGATGGACCCTCAAGCACACACAAAATTCCCACGCCCCCTGAAAAAGTTCAGCGCACCATCGAAAATTACTGAATATTGCACGAAAAGGCATCCTTCCCTACGGTTGGTCTTACGAAGCAGTTTATAAGTCACACGCTCCTCCAAGCAACCCCATGAACAGTAGACGGATCGCACCCAAGAAATCTACAAAGGTTGCAGGCAGAAACTCGCATCGCCTTAGAACCCTGGTGCCGCCGAACCCTGAACCTCAAGCAAACCTACGCGACCGTCTGAAGCCCCTGATCCAAAATCCCAAGCTTGTGAACCCCAATCCCCAAACCGAAAGCACCTCTTCTTGGGGCAATAGCCCTACACGTCCTCATATATCCCTCCAGAACCGTGTGTAACCCCCGTAGCTCCGCTCGAACCCTAAACCCGACACCCTAAACCCTGAACTGTCCCAGGTAGACCGGGTGCCCGTACCAAAGGACAGGGGCCGGAGCTCGTCGGAATTCGCGTTGTGACCCAAGATGCAGCCGAGGACGACCTGGCTCATTTAGGGTTTAGGGTGGCTCATTTAGGGTTTGGGGTTCTTTTTAGGGGGTTTTTGGGCTGAATCGTTGTTGGTGGGAGGTTATGGTATCGTACCTCAAAAGCTACGTAAGAGGTTCTCAAGATATTCTGAAATACTAGTGCTATGGTTTACAGGTTAGGGTTTTGGGAGACACGTTGTGAAACACTAGATTCATGACAACTATTCATTTTTTTCAAGAGAGCTATCGTCTTAACTCCTAGTATACACCTTAATCAGCTCTATGATACTCCATTCCTATAAAGAACCCTAAGCCCTCTCTAAGCCCTAAGGCCCCGTTCTAGGAAGTTTAGCCTCTGATCAAGAGACTACCAAGCCCCAGAAGCTCAACAAGTTGGGTGTTCCCTACCTAGCCAGCTTGTAATCCTTAGGGTATGGAGTTTAGGGTTTAGGGTTCAGGGTTTAGGGTATGGGGTTTAGGGTTTAGGGTTCAGGGTTTAGGGTATGTTTTTTTTTTTTTTTCCGGGACCTTTTCTCCAAGGCTTGGTATCCTTAAAAATGCCATTTCGGCACGGTCCTGGGCCAGCCTCACTAGCCGCATACTCCTGAGCCACGCTACTGCCAGCTCAGTAATCCCTCATCTGAAACCACCACAGACAGTCACAGCCGAGCAGTTCTACCAGCCCCGCAACCACAGTGGTAGCCATGAGGAAAACAAACTCATCCGGCACACACAGCTACAAAAGCCAATGTGAGAGGCTCGTTTGACGAGTTCCCGACAGGACCCCCGAGTTCCTATGCTCACTTGCATCACCTGGTTCAGCAGGGCTCGTATCTGGTGAACTCCCCAAGGTCCCCGGCAGACTGGCCGCCGCAGCTTCTCCAGGACCAGGCACATCAGCAGCGCTCGAAGCCGCAGCAGCAGACATGCCAGCACCTCCAGACAGGTGCCAGCTCTCCGTGCACATCCTCTTCAGGCCGTCCATGCGATGCACCCGGGGTCGGATCACGAGCGTCACCATGGGCAGATTCAGCTGCAAGGTCATCATCAAAGACCCCATTCTCCCAGTCCCTGCGACCATAGAAGTTGCCAAGGACATTGTATCCGTACTTGTTCCCAATGTGCCTGTCCGTCAACTTCCCTTGCCTCCACAAGCTGTAGGCCTCCTTGCCGTTGTCGGTGTTCACGAAGCTCTCTGCGTTGGCCACAACGACCGGCTTCGACGTGTTTATCTCATCCCACATTTCAGCCGGCTTCTCACCAGTGATGGGCAACACGTCTTCAACCGTCCTAGTACTGTCCACATTGGAGACACCCGCACCCTGCTCAGCATGGTCAGCAACTCCCTGCCCTCGTACAGCTATAGCAGGATCACCATGATCGCCAGAAGCCGCGGCCGTGGGGTCAGGTTCGTCCTCCTCGTCGCCCTCGTCATTCTGGAGGACACTGACACTGTAAGAAAGACGCTCGCCCTCCTGCAGCCCGAAAGAGCCAGTTTTCTCTGCGAATGAGTCTTCCCCCCTCTCCCTGCACGAGGACCTGAACTCTGGCTCGCTTCTTCCTTCCATGCAGAAAGTCATCTTGTACGGCCGCCCACGATTCCCACGACCGAAATTCCGCCGCATGGAAGTCCTCCCACATTTGGTGCTCTTCTTGGCGCAGAGACTCAGCTACCATCTCCTCCAGGATCTCATTTTCCAGCATTTCTGCTCTTTCCTCCTCCGAGAGCTCCCTTTGTGTTCCATTCTCCAGCTGCACCATTTGCTTATGGCTTCCATTTTCCACTATCTGCTCCTGGCTATCCACGACAACGATCTCCTGTTCCTCCGCCTGGCTTGGCCTGGGCTTGTCATCCGGCTTGTCTAGGGTTTAGGGTTTAGGGCCCTTAAGGGTACCTTAATCTACCCTTAATAGGGTCCTAATAGGGAATTTTAGGGTCTAATAGCCCATAGTGGCAGAGCCCCCCTTGAGATGCCGGCTCGGTACAAACCCGGAAGCTCTTCGTAAAACTGCGAACCATTCATCTAGAACCGTAAGTTGTCTCATAGGTGACCGTTGAGAAAAGTTTTCGGGTTTAGGGCCCTAGGGCTGCCGTTATTAAGTCCCATGGGTGGTTGTCAAAATTATGGGCCATTTTTGGGTACCCTAAATGATTAGGTACCGTATTTTAATAGGAATCCAAGAAGGGACCATAATTGTGATAACCACCCCCATGAATCTCTAAAGCTGCACCTCAACACACACGCTACCGAACTTAAAGCCCTACCAGCACTGTGCTGCACATGGTAAGTAAATTTCCAGTCCTGCCGAATTGCGAAAGAGAACCCCAGCCGCAGCCCTAGACCAGCAGCTTTCTATTTGAAAAGATACATACTTGCGGCGAACAATGGCGTTTTTCTCGGACATTCGCAACCTCTGTGCCCTATGACTGCAAGTCCTGAAGCTTTGGCTCTTATGTTCTCTCCTTGCACCCATACAGTTTAGGGTTGAATCCTAAAGCCTTAAACCCTAAACCCTAGTCCATGCGGCTCCCTTCCAAGCCTCTAGCATCTCTTGACGTTGCAGCTGGCGAATAGCCTGCTTCAGTCTCATCTTCAAGGGGGCCTTACCGTAGGGCTCCAAATATCCCAATGTAGACAATGGCTTCTTAAGGCTTAGGGTTTGGGGTTTAGAGTCCATGTAAGTTCTACTTATACACAAAAAATTAGGGTCCAACGAAGCAGCATTTACAGACTTGGAGCCCCAGGGTCAGCCGTCCCACACATTTTGCAAGGACCCTCCCAGGTGAGTAGTTGCCTAGCAGGGGCCCTTGCGTTGGACTTTCACAAAACTAGGGTGCTCTCAGGGGTATGCAAGAATCATTAAAAAAAGGATCCTTGTGGTCTCTATGAGAAGCTTAAGTTTTGGTCCTGACTTGTCAGATTCTATAGGGATGTCTTCAAAAACTCCCCCCCCCGACAATCTGATTTGGGTTTCTGCCCGTCTACGAGCCTTACACGATGAGCGCTGTATACTGGCGCAGCCACCCACGGTGGCAAGCTGAAACCCTGCGTAACACTAATTACCCTATACCTCGAACCCTCTCAAACAGTCCGGCTATATAAGCCCAGCTTTCCATTGCATAGTTCTTTGTCCGTTTGTTCCTCAACTATTGGTACCCTAAGACATTCAACCAATAAGTATGTACGTATGTATGTATGTATGTATGTATATGTATGTATATGTATGTATATGTATGTATATGTATGTATATGTATGTGTATGTATGTATATGTATGTATGTATGTATGTATGTATGTATACGTACGTACCTATGTATTTATGTATTTATATGCACAGATACATCTGTGGATGTATGTCCAGGATTCCACCTTG